GAATCACTGATCCGCATGCCCCACATTGAGGATAGAGCCTGCAACCCAGGCATATGCCCTGACCAGGAATCGAAACCTGACCTCCTGGTTCATAGGTCAGCGCTCAATCACTGAGCCACACCAGCTGGGCCAGAATTGTTGTTTGGGGTGTGTAGTAGTCCTTAGTGGCTTCTACCAAATCTTTCCAGCTCTTCATCTTCCAGGCCATACCTTCTGGGTCTCTCAGTTGGCTCAGTTAATGTCAGTTGACATGGTCATAAAAATGTCAATTGCTATGAGGAAATTAAGACAGGATGGTCTAAGATAGAGGCCGGCAAACTGTGGTTCACGAGCCACATGCAGCTCTTTGGCCCCTTGAGTGTGGCTCTTCCACAAAATACCACGTGCGGGCGTGCACGTACAGTGATTGAAACTTCGTGGCCCATGCGCAGAAGTCAGTTTTCGGCCTGGGCGAGTCTATTTTGAAGAAGTACTGTTGATATTTGGCTCTGTTGACTAATGAGTTTGCCGACCACTGGTCTAAGATGTGCCAGATATTGATCACATATTTTAAAACTGTATATCCAAGAAGCAAGTGGATCCAGTAAGAATCCACTTCGACAATTAATGGTAATTTTTTAAAAAAAGGTTTTATCCCCCAAAAGTAGTGTTCTATAGACTGCACTTCTTAAACTTCAATATGTAACAAATCACTGACAGATTTAGTCAAAATTCAGGTTTTGATTCAGTAAATCCAGGGGTTAAGGGGAAAGGGATTCTGCATTTCTAACAAGCCCTTGTAATGCTAGGGATGCTGACCTTGAGCATCTCCTCAGTTTGGAGACAAAAGTCATTTTGCAAAGTATACTGAACAAACTGAATACAATGGGGTAAAAACATGACTTATGTTTTTTGTCCTGTGAGTAAAATGTCAATCTCACCTTTTTGCATCAGACTCTTTGGGGATGGAGAAGACCCCTCCTCTCACAGAGGAGAGAAGGAAAGCCACTGCAACTTGCCAACAACAGCTTGATGTGACAATGATTTCTAGGATATAAAGAGTCTCTGCTTACAGAATGTATTAGGTTTCAATCAGAAAGGCTGAATCACTAGAAGAGATATATTAGATGACAGATAGGTGATAGATGATAGATAGATAGATAGATAGATAGATAGACAGATAGATACTAGTAGATAGATAGATGATAGATGATAGAAGATAGATAGATAGATAGATAGATAAAGATATCAGGGGGTTAACTTTGTGCAATTAGTGGAGTTGTTAAGCAGTCCCTAAGATTGTCTTAGTGTCTAATACTCACACTCGAAGTGCACATGGCAGGCAGTTAGGAAGAGAAGACAGATGTAAAGTGGGGGAAAGCTAGGACACACTGGAACAAACTTGCTTACCCTTGGTGGTATGAGCATCTACAGTAGAAGCTGACATCCTTCATCATGGAGCTAAACACACACCTAGCCAAGGAGTTGAAGTTGAAGGAAGAACCAGGAGAAGGTGGAATAATTGCTGGCCTGGCTGCTGCCCTTATGCAAAAATATAGATCACACAGTTCGTAGATCACACCCTGTGTGATCTACAAAATAGAAGCTACTTTATTCTGACCTCCAAATCTGGCCCAAGAATCTTTTAGCCCATCCTAATGGACACATACAGAGAAGGTAATTCCAGGATATAGTTCATTCAGCCTAGTCAAGCTGACACATTACAAAGCCACCACATAGAGGCTGGAGGAGGGTGGTGATATGGTAAGTGGTTGCTGGAGAGACGGTCACATGACCAGCTCTGCTCTCTCTTAGGTATCTTACAGGATGTGTCTCATAACCCCTGGGTGGCTTTTTTTTTAGAGTTAGGGGATGGGGGACCACTAATACTTACCTCTTATTTGGCTTTAACTTTTCCTCCAAAACATACAAAAACATTTTATATCCTATATAATAAAGAGCTAACATGCAAATGGTTGTCACTCCCTCGAGCCCTTGCGCCCTCACGCCCTTACCGGGGGACCTGAGGCTGGGCTAGGGGACCTGAGGCCATTCCCCCCGGCAGGCAGGGCTTGACAGGGGACCTGAGGCTGCACCCCTGCCCTGCAGGGCTTAACCTGGGGGTAGGGTCACCCAGGTCTGGGTCTCGCGCAATTTTGAGGCCTGTGCGGGTGGGCAGGGACTTGACTCTGGGTCCCATGGCGCACCCCAGACTCTGACAGGAGGGAGATTTTCACATACATTTTACTAATTTTCTTTCATCTCTGACAGTTCTATTATAGAGAAAGGGCAAACAGCAATATTAAAATATTTCCTCTAACTAATTCCTTTTTAATGTGCACGATTTTGTGCACCAGGCCATCAGTTTATATATAATTATGTAACTTGAATCAAGGTGCATCTGATTAGTTGTCATTAGGTTATGGTTATATTTAAACAATAGTCCATCATTAAACAATAGTCCATCTTTCAGCCAATACTTTTTTAATAGACATTTTTTTTGTGTGTGTGAACAGTTTTATGCTTATAGAAAATTCCACAAAAAGGAAAGTCCCCATATACCTCCTCTCCCTCTACACACATTTTCCCCTATCTTGCAGGAATATACCTTTGTTACAATTGATGACCAATAGTGTAACATTACTACTAATTAAATTGATACCTTACATTAGAGCTCACTCTGTGTTGTACTAAGGCTTTTTACAAATGTATCCACCATTACAATATCAAACAAATAACTTTTACCCATTTAAAAATCCTGTGCTTCATCTCTTCATCTCTACCCCCATCTCATGATTCCCCTTGCAACCACTGATCTTTTTACTGATCTCTATAGCTTTGCCTTTTCCAAAATGTCACATAATTGTAATCACACAGTATATCATCTATTCAGGTTGTCTTCCAAAGTGGCTGTATCATTTGGCATTTCCATTGGGAATTGAGAGTTCTGTTGTTCCACATCCTCACAGCATTTAGTGTTGTTGTTTTGGATTTTAGACTTTTTTACATATATTTTTATTGATTTTAGAAAGGAAGGGAGAGGGAGAGAGAGAGAAACATCCATGATGAGAGAGAATCATTGATTGGCTGCCTCCTGCACACCCCCTACTGAGGATCGAGTCCACAACCCAGGCATGTGCCCTTGACCAGAATAGAACTCGGGACCCTTCAGTCCACAGGCCAATGCTCTATCCACTGAGCCAAACCAGCTAGGGCTAGATTTTAGACATTTTAATAGATGTATCCCATTGTCTTAATCTGCAATTCCTGATAACATCTGATGTTGAGCAACTTTTCATATGCTTCTGTATATCTTCTTTGGTGAGACATCTGTTCATAACTTTTATCCATTTTTAATTGGATTATTTGTTATCTTATGGTTGAGTTTGAAGAGTTTTTTGTATATTTTGGATCCAAGTTCATCATCAGATGTCTTGTAAATATTTTATCCCAGTCTGTAACTTGTCTTTTAATTCTCTTAATAGCCAATAATTTTTTGGCAGATAGGCTGGCTATTGATATTTTTTAAAATAGAAAAACAGCCCACAAAGTGGAAGAGGGGAGATATTTGAGAGAAATGTCAACTATTGAGAAATCAAGCATCATGGAGTAGCAACTGCTAATCTTGTTTCCAGGAAGCCCACCTGGATTACATCAGCCCCTGGCACCCTCTTCTGCTTCTCAGCCCTTATGAAACATTTGAAGCTCGACTCAGCTTCTTCCCCAAATTTCCTATCGCAGTGGTCGGCAAACTGCAGCTCGCAAGCCACATGCAGCTCTTTGGCCCCTTGAGTGTGGCTCTTCCACAAAATACCACGTGCGGGCGCACACGTACAGTGCTATTGAAACTTCGTGGCCCATGCACAGAAGTTGGTATTTCGTGGAAGAGCCACACTGAAGGGGCCAAAGAGCCACATGTGGCTCGCGAGCTGCAGTTTGCCGGCCACTGTCCTATCTCAATGGTGATCCCATGGTCCCCTTGTCCCTGGGCCAGAGACTCCCCAGCCCTTCGATGTCTCTCCTTGGCTCCTCATAGAGATAGACTTCCACATTGTTGTCAGTACTTCCCCTTCCTTCACTTCCGCATTTCAAGGTCTGTTCCACCTAATCCCTAGCCCTGAGTCCTGGACCTCATGCTGGATGTCCATCCCCCCAAGCCCCAACCGCCAATCAACCCCATCCACTCGGTCTCCTTTCTGCTCCACAGCCCTACTGTGGACCAGCACTTTCCTTGCTCCTCATTCTGCTCCACTCTCCTCCCTGAGTTCCCAGCTTTAGTGTCACCTCACCACCTCTCCCACCACATCCATCCCCCCCCCCCCAACAAATATTTATCAGTCCGGTTCTGTACTGGACAGAGGACAGAGTGGTGACCTAGGCAATCATGTTGAATGAAAGGTCCCTAATGTTGCCATTTTTCAGGGCTCTCTTGAGGCTGAGTGGGTTTGTTGTAATTTAGAAGACCGGAGAAAAACCAAGCAACGCTTAGAGAAATGAGTTTCACAGCTTTATTACCCCGGTGGACTCAGAGGAGGTTGCCTCTCAAATTCTGAGCAAACCAATATGGTGAAAGCCCCTCTTTTATCCCCTTTTGATTTCTTTGTCCCCCAAATGTGGGATGGGAATTCTGGACTTTTCTTGGGCTTTGCAAAAATCCCCGTGGGTTGGGATGGGGGTCTTGAGATCATATCTAAGGGGCTTGCTTGGCGCCAGTGCTAATAACCCCCCTCTGGAGGCTGTCTCATGGTTTATGGCCTCAGGTCTTGCGAGACCAAATTCTGGGAAAGGGGCAGTGACTTAATCATAGGTATCAAGAATGTACACTGGGCTTGCTGGCACAGATTCAGATTGCTAGCCCCCCCAAACATCAGGGTTACATTGGAATTGGCCTTTTAGCCTTCTCAGGCTCTCCAGAACTCCAGCCCTAGGGTCCCGTGCTTCCCGGGGCACCCCACAGTCCTCTTACGCTCCCAGCATCCCACACTGACCCACCCCTCCTGCTTATTTTCTACCATCCCTACCTGGTGAACATCTGCTCCTCCACTGAACGCTGAGCTCCGAGCACGGAGCCTGAGGCTGTCAGCCGCCGCGGTGGCCCCAGCACTGATGTCACGGAGTGGGCCAGACAAACGAACCTGGAAGAACGCCTGCAGGACCATACAGGGTCATGCCATCTGCCCTCTGTCCCTCACTCGGACCCGAGAATCCCTGTTTCTGAAGTCAAAGAGCAGTAAGTTTGGCATCTCCTTGCCTAGTTCTCATCCTCCTAGGGTGCAAGTCCCATTTTGTCAAGAAAATCAAGTGAGCCATTAGGACTTTGTGACTTTAGGGAACAGCCAGTAGTGAGAGGGAGGACGCAGAAAGCAAGCGGGCTCCCCCGCTTTTCCACGCCCCTTCCACCTTCATTCAGCGGGACCCGTCCGGGAGGCGCCGCGACGCCGGGGACCCGCCCCGCCCCGTCGGCGCGCTCGTGACGTCAGAGGCGGCGCCGCCGGAGAGCGCGCGGGCGGCGGCGGAGGCGCCGTCATGGAGTTAGTGCGGGAAGCGCGGGAACTGGTTTGCTGGGCTACGGAAGAGATGGAGGCGCCCGAGGCTGCCCGGGCCCCGGAGTCGACGCTGCGCAGGTGAGGGCCGCTCGGGAGTGAGGGCCACCCATCCAGGAGAGAGCCTCCGGGGTGCGAGGCCGTCTTTACGGAAGACGGGCCCTCCTCCGCGCCAGGCGCCCCTCTAAGGGCGCCCCCCCTAAGGGCGCCCCCCGGCCCCCCAGGAGTGTGTTCAGGAAGAGGGTCCTGGGTCTCAGTGAGGACGACCGGGCGGTAAGCCTCACCCTCCACCCGCGCCCCAGGAGCCGCCCGAGGTCGCAGGCACCGGTGCGGACTAGTGAAGCCCTTCGTCACTAAGTGTAAATAGAACTCCTGGGTCGGGAAGGCTGTCTGCACCACCCACCACCCCGCTCAGCCAGAGAGGACACTCGAGTCAGCCAAGACCACCCCATTGGAGACGAAATCTGTCGGAATGATAGCCACGTCCAATGATGACAGAGATCCCCACCCCGCCTCTGGGAGGAACCCTCTCCCAGGAGAAAGGAGGCACACCCCATCAGGGAGGGAGGAAGACCGCCCCACACCCAGAGCGAAGCCCACCCTCTCAGTGACCCATCCAAGAAGGAATGTTTTGACCCCAAAATGTGAATCCGCCCTCCCTGGGAGAAGTGAGAATTCCCTAGTGAAGACCCCACCCCCACCCGGGGAACTGGGACCCGCCACACTGATGCCCCAGGCACCTTTACCTGCCGTCCCCACAGGCTGTGTCTGGGCCAGGGGGCCGACATCTGGGCCTACGTCTTACAGCATGTGCGCAGCCAGAGGTGAGCCTGGCTGCAGAAGGGCGGCTGTGGCAGGGAAGGGACATAGGCACGTCCCACAGTAACTTCTCCTACTTCTCCACTTAGGAATGTCACGAAGATCCGGGGAAACCTACTCTGGTAACTTGTCCTCAAAGCTATCCGTATTTTCCCCAGTCCCAAACAGCCCTGTCCCCACCCACAGCCTTACACCTCCTGGAAGTCCCTGTCATTCCCTAACTTCGTCCTCATTTCCTCAGGTATGGCCACAAATACAGTTCAGAGGTAAGAAGCATGTCCTGCAAGATTTTCTTTTATCAAACGAGAGGATCATTTGTTCTGGGCCAGCCTTGTATTGAGTGATAATGGGGATACTGGGTCACAAAACAGCCTTGATCCATACATTCATAGGATTTACAGTCGAGGGGAGGCAGGCATGAGCTACGGGAAAGGGAAGAACATAGATATGAGGCATCACAGCTGGTGAGGGAAGACAGGAGAATGCATTAGTTTGGGAGAGATACTGAGGCCAGGGTGGGACTTAGTATGTGGGAGCGGTCCAGGTGATATCAGGGGGGACACTTCTAAGAGATCTTGAGACTCTTAGATGAGGGGCTCATGAGGAGATGAGGACTGGGACAGAGATGTGGCATCAATGCAGAGACAGGAAACAGGTTGGGAGGGTGATCTAATTCCAGAGGAAGAGCCCAGGATAGGTCTCTGATGTTCCTGAGCCTAGAGGTTCAGACACGGTAACCACCTAGGGGGAAAAAATCTGCCACACCCCTGGGCAGATGAAGAGACTCGTGCTCCACAAAGGACAGTCAGGCCAGGCTGAGCCAAGGCTAGGCCATGTATCTGGCCCTGTACCTGATCCCACAGGCCTGCCGGAAGTCGGAGCTGGAAGCTGCCATTGCCCACCTTTGGGCAGAGATCCAGGAGTTAGACCAGAGCTTGGAGCTGATGGATCAAGAGACCGAGGCTCAGGGTAACTCATGTGGCTGAACAGATGGGCCGCAGAAAGGGTATTGGGAAGGTACTGATGACCACGCTGCTCCTCCCACAGACATGGCCATGGAGCAGGTATTGCAGAGCATGCAAGACACCCAGCGGCATGCTCTCCTCCTTCGGGCCCAAGCTGGGGCCATGAGAAGGCAGCAACGTGGACTCCAACATCCCATGCAGTGGCTACAGAATCAGCTCGGGCGCCTGCAGGACATAGAAAGGTGGGCTTCAGGTGCCCACCAGGCTGGGTGGAGAGACATTTTCCTTAGAGACCCCAGTATTCTGCCCTGACCCCTTCTTGAGTTCCAGAATTCTAGGCTCTGCTCTTTAGGATTTAAAGTCCATGAGGCCAGGAAGTTTTGTCATCTCACCCACCAGTATTTGTGCCTAGAATGGTGCCACCTATATATCTAGAACACCACTGCTGGGAAAGAAAACAAGGAACAATCCTGCCTTCATGGAGCTTACACTCTGATGCAGAGGAGACAGATGGTAAACTAGAAAGCAAACAAACTCAGTAATTGCAGGTAGAGATGAGTGCTATGAAGAAAAAATTATATAAGGGGAGAAGAAGATGCTACTCTAGGTAGGATGGTCAGAGAAGGCCTCTCTGAGGAGGTAACATTTGAGTTGGGGAAGGAACTTCCATGAAGAGGGACAGCAAGAGCAGAAGCCCTGAGCTTGGCATATGGGAAGAACAGCCAGGAGTGTAGTTCAGTCTAAGTTTCACAGGCAAGAGGGAGAGCATGAGAAGGTGAGGTTGAGAGGTGGACATAGCACCATGGAGTCACTGGAATGCAATTCATGCCCTGGTTTGGCCACTTACAGTGTGACCTTGGGCAAAGTGTGTTCCTCAGTTTCAAAGATCTATAGAAAGAATATTACCTACTTTACATGGCAGGTATGATAATTGAGTTAAGTCATGCAAAGTACTTAGAAGAGTTTCTGTTAACCATTGTTATTCTTTTTTCTTTTTTTAAATATATTTTATTGATCTTTTACAGAGAGGAAGGGAGAGGGATAGAGAGTTAGAAACATTGATGAGAGAGAAACATCAATCAGCTGCCTCTTGCACACCCCCTACTGGGGATTTGCCCACAACCAAGGTACATGCCCTTGACCGGAATCGAACCTGGGACCCTTCGGTCCGCAGACCGACGCTCTATCCACTGAGCCAACCCGGTTAGGGGAACCATTGTTATTCTAATGGTGATGAGGACATATATTGTATACAAGGGTTTTGTGCAGAATAGTGATATGATCTTTCTGAGGTTTTAACAGGATCATTTAACTGCTGGGTGGAGAACAGACTGCAGAGAATGAAAGTAAGGAAGACCAATGAGGAGGCTAATGTCAACCAGCCAGGAGGTGACAGTGGCCTAATTTTGGAGATGGCCCCTGAGATTCAGACGCAGGGATCCCTGTGACTAGCTTTGCTGGCAGCAGGAGGGGACACAAACATCTGTTCTCCCACCTCCCTCCTACCAGCGACCCAGCCCCAATTGCATTCTTTCTAGGAAGGCTAAAATGGATATAACCTTTGGCCCCTTGACATCGCCAGCCCTAGGCCTGGAGCCTGTGGTTCTGGTAAGAGTCCTGGACCATGGGGTGGGGGAAAGGAGGGAGTCTGGGATCAGATGGGCCCCTGGGTCCCCTTTATGTCCCATCCTCTTGTTCCCAGGGTGATGTCCGAAGAGCCTGCACCCTCCGAACCCAGTTTCTACAGAACCTTCTGATTCCTCAGGCCAAAGGAGGCAGCATCCCGTGAGTGTCACTGAGCCCCCGGAAACCCTACAAAGAACCTGGGCTTTGGAAGGAGTTACTTGCCTGTTAATTCATCAGACACTGAGTGTCTGGGCTGTGTCAGCCCCAGGGCCTGCCCTGACAGGGCTCCCAGATGGGAAGAGGTGAAGACAGACCCATCACAGACAGTAACAACCCAGGCAGTTAGGACTCTTGGGGGATAGGGAAGTCTAGGAGGCTCTGGGTACTGAGAAGAGACACCCTACCCAGCTAAGGAAGCAGGGAGGATGGGTCTCTGGTGAGGAGGCTTAGTAAAGGTAAAAGGTTGAGAGGGTGTTCCAGGCAAGCAGCACATGTGAAAGGGCCCATGGTCAGCAAGTTGGTATAAGAGGGGAAATCAAGTCTAATAAGCATGGATGAATTTGGTTTCCTCGTCTGTAATCTGGGCACAGGGACAGGTCCCACTTTATGGGGTGGTGGTGATCATTAGAGGGAGAATTGATATGTCTTGTAACATTTGCTGTCCCCTCCCCCAACCCCACAGAAGCCCTCAAGATGACCACTTTGGAACTTCCTACCAGCAATGGCTTAGCTCAGTGGAGGTGAGGGGGGCTTTCAGGAAAGACCATACTCACGGTCCCATTATCAAACCTCAGGGTGCCAGGACCTGAATGTTCATCCTTGCCCAGTCCCCTTGTGGTCCCAGCTCACAGCCCTGCCCTGACTTCACCCCTCCCCACACCAGACACTGCTGACAAACCACCCTCCCAGCCACGTCTTGGCTGCCTTGGAACACCTGGCTACAGAACGGGAAGCAGAGATTCGGTCCCTGTGCAGTCAGGACAGACTCCAAGATACGAAGATGGCCAGGTGTGTAGTAGAGTACTTCCGTAGTCAGGCAGGGCAGGTGGCTGCGTGAGCTGGGACAGGGCCAAGACCAGGCACAGTGGTCTGCTGATAGGAGCAGAACTGAAATCCAGGGACTAAACCCAGGTGGGGTGGACAGTGGCTACCCTGAAGAGGCCAAGCAAGGAGACGGGGCTCCTCCCTCACCAGTTTCACCCCATCGCCAGGTGCCAGGTACCAGATCAGTCAGACTCCAGCCAGGCCCTGCCGTCCGTGATGCATCTCATCCAGGTGACCCCCAGGCACCCTTGCAGACTCTTTTCTCTTTCCCATCCCAAAGCCCACTCAGTCCCCTCACCACCAGGGATGATGCCCTCCTGACTTTGTCCCCCTGCCCCAGGAAGGCTGGCAAACTGTGAGTGTGCTGGTCACCCAGCGGGGCCCCCTCCTGAAGGAGCATCACATCCTGACCCAGCGCCTCCAGAGCCTGTTGGAGGAGGTGGAGAGGTGTGCCCTGGGAGCCAATGAGAGGTGAGGGAGCTCCCAGGGCAGAGGCCGCTAGGATCTCTCTCTCCCTGGGGTCTCAGAATATTGGACTTTTTCTGCCTCTGTGGCTTTCGTCCCTGCCTCCCTGCTCTCCTTGCCTTTGTGGCTCCTTGGGCATCCCCTCCTCTACTGTGAGTCTTAGTCACCTTCCTCTCCATTGTTCTCTTCTGCTTGTTCTCCAGGCAGGCATTAGTGCTGGGACTCCAGGGTTATGGCCTGTGGGCAGAGCTCAAGGCCCTGTGCGCCCATAGCCAGGAGCTGGAGGAGGCAGTTGGAAGGCAGCAGCTTCTGCTGCAGGAGCTACAGGCCAAACAGCAACGGATCCTGCACTGGCGCCAGCTGGTGGTGAGAGGCAGGATTCCGGGGAAAATGGCAGGGCCTGGAGGAGGGTCAGGCTGGGAGCCTTATGATCCAGAACTGGGCCTCCTGGTGGGGGAACAGGCCCAGGATGAGTCTTCCAAGAGGAAATAGGACCTGTGGAAAGGGGAGGGCAGGGCTGGAGGCTGGGAGTTGGGAAGGAAAAGCAGCCCGTCTTGGTGGCCTCCTGGTTGTCCAGGGGGAGACACAAGAACAGGTCCGATTACTCATCAAGAGCAACTCAGCCAGCAAGACGCACCTGTGTCGGAGCCCTGGGGAGGTGAGTTGGGATTTGGAATGAGGTCTGGGCAGGGCCAGGTCTCCTAGGGGATGGGGCTGGGTGATCTCAGGTTTCCCCGCCCATCCCTTTCCTTCCCCACAGGTGCTTGCTCTGATCCAGAGAAAGGTGGTCCCCACATCTGAGGCAGTGGCACCACAGAGCCAGGAACTGCTTCGCTGTCTGGAGGAGGCGGCCCAACATCTGCCCCACCTTCTGCTGGGCACCCTGCTGCGGCACAGCCCTGGAGGGTGAGACGAGGGCCATCCTCTATATCCCTCCCTTGGCTGACTGTCCCACTCCAAAAAAATAATCCGCTTACTCCAAACAAAAATTCCAGATCCCAGTGTTCCCAGGCTACCAGACCTCGCTCAGGTCCTCAGCCCCACTCTGGAATTCTAGTCCCAAGACCCACATCCAAGTTCCTGGACCTCCCAAAATTATCCCTCAGCCCCCAGAGCCTCTGCAACCCAAGCCTTCCTCTCAATGCCCCACCTAAACTGGACTTTCCCCCCAGATTGCAGCCCCTGCCTACAGTCCTGCCATCCATCCACCAGCTACATCCTGCGTCCTCAAGGGGCTCCAGCCTTATAGTGCTTAGCCACATTCTGGGGCTACCCACAGGGAAGGTGAGTGCTCTATGCCCTAGGACAGTGATGGTGAACCTGACACGCGTGTCAGAGGTGACACGCGAACTCATTTTTTTGGTTGATTTTTCTTTGTTAAATGGCATTTAAATATATAAAATAAATATCAAAAATATAAGTCTTTGTTTTACTATGGTTGCAGATAGCAAAAAATTTCTATATGTGACACGGCACCAGAGTTAAGTTAGGGTTTTTCAAAATGCTGACACGCCGAGCTCAAAAGGCTCGCCATCACTGCCCTAGGACCTATCTTTCCACCCCTAGCCCCACCCAAGATAGTTGTCCTTTCCCCCTTCCTCTAGGCTCCAGAGCTGCTCCTCCCAAAGGCTGCCTCGCTTCGCCAGGACCTTCTGTTCTTCCAGGACCAATGTAATCTCCGGTGCTGGGATCTGCTCCATATGAAGAACAGCCTACCGCCAGGACCATCCACCCAGGGTAGGCCTGCCCCGCTTCTATATCTAGCATCCTTGCCCATTCCCAGGACCATCAACCTCTAGAACCAATCACAAACAACACATTGCTGACACAGAGCCTTCTGGGCTCTGAGTGCTTTAAGCATGTTCACTAGTTTCATCTGCACAGCAGCCCCAGGGGGTTAGTGCTGCCATTCTCCCTTTTACAGAGGAGGGACTTGTATGCAGAGACCTGCGTAGATGCCCAGACGGCAGAGCTAAGATTTAACTCAGGCGTTCGGACTTCCGATGGGTCTGTGCTCCTAACCACTAGGTGACTGCCTATCTAATTGCCAAGTACATGCAGTATTATGCTTGAATAGTTAAAAGCTGGGATGTAGAGTTAAACTATCTGGATTCTCTTCTCAGGACTACCTTGTTGTGTAATCTCCCTATGCCTCAGTTTCCTCCTCAGTGGAGTAAGCCTATCTTACAGAGTTGCTGGGAAGACATAGTCAGGTATGAGATTACAGTCATTTTGTCTGCTCATGCGCAGTCTCTTCCAGTGCTTACCATGAGGGACAGAAAGTGTTTAAGATTCCGTTTACAAATGAGGAAAAGGAAATTTCTAAGAAAAGTTGTTCTAGATTCACTCAGCAGGCCCTCAGTGGGTACCTACCAGGTGCTGGCCCCAAGAGCTCAATGGGGAGAGAGGCAAGAGTAGTCCAGCCCCAGGGGTGTCCTGGTGGTAGAATCAAACAGCAAAGAATCAAAGGGTAAATAGAAGAGGTGAATTGATGAGAAATGAATCAGGGTACCATCAACAAAGTAGGAAGAAACTGTTTTCAAGCCTTCGAGTTTCAGGCTCTCTGCCTTCCCCTCTCCAAGGGGCACGGGGCGGTGTGAAGAGCAGCCCAAGAGCCAGCACAGCTGCATCCCACCTCATGGCCATTGTGAACTTTAACATGTCTAAATGGGTCTTAGTTCCCTCTGCTCCAAAAGCAGTTTTATTTTTCTTCAGCCTGATTTTCTTCCCTCAATAAATGATCCTACCCTCCTGATCCAGGTGCCTAAGCCAGAAACCCAGGAGTCATTCTTAATTCCTCCCAAGCCCCTAACCCCACCCACCCACCTTCAACCTGTCAGCAAGCTCTGGGTCCCATCTCCAGAATGCTCCAATCTGCCCCAACCCCATTAGCCTGTGGCTCAGATAATGACAACTGACCATAGAATGGCTAAAGAAAGTGTAAGGGTCATGCCCGGTGTCACAAGGCAAGATTGGAGTCAGGATTCAGGCCCAAAGAGTCTGATCACACTGCAGGTCTGGTATGAGCCTGTTTTGGAGCTGTGGAGGGGGAGTAGAACTAATCACAGTCCCAGGGAAAACACTGGTAGAGTGAAGGGCTGCAGCAGTCTGAGGGGGGAAACCTTAGGATGAGGAATGCTGGGAAGGACTACCAGGAGGAAAAATAGTGTCTCAAGTGGTCCCTGGGAGGTAGGTGAGGTTTTGCTCAGGAATAGTGAGCAGCAGCAGCCATATAATGCAAGCCCTCAAGTACTATGCTGAGGAGCCTGGACTCTGGCTTGGGGCACTGGGAAGCCTTGGAGGGTTCCAAGCAAGAAAGAGAACGGATCAGGTTTAGGCTTCAGGAAGATCACTGAGGCCTGGAGCCTAAGAGGGAGGCTGGGGATGGGGCATGCGTAGGAAAGGGGGAGGAAGCAAAGGGTAGGTCATGGAGATTGATGGTCTGTCCGGGCGGGAGGCATCCGGGATGAAGTGGGGGAGGAGGAGATAGTGGGCTTGCCCCTGAGATGAGGACTTGGGAGGAGGGAGAGGTTTGGGAGAGATGTTGAGGTCAAGACTAGGTGACTGGAGATTTACTTGGTGTCCCATTGACTGCAAGGCACCAGGGAACTAGAGGACTCAATGCTACCTCCTGGGCTTCTAACCTGCAGAGTTGCTGCAGATCCATGCATCCCAGGAAAAGGAGCAGAAAGAGAATCTGGGGCAGGCTCTGAAGCAGCTGGAGAACCTGCTGGAACAAGCCCTGGAGCGAATCCCCAAGCTGCAGGGGATTGTGGGGGACTGGTGAGAGGGGATTGTGGAGGACTGGTGATGGGGGGTAGGGCTGAGCTGGGTGGAACATGCCAACTCAGGGCTGGGGGAAAAGACGGGGAGGGGAAGGAGGAGGAGACTGGTGACAAGCAGGCCATGATGTGGGGAAGCCAGTGAGGGTCTGAAGGCTCAGGCCTTCCTCTGACACCATTCTCTTCCCCAGGTGGGATCAGCCAGGCCAAGTCACCCTCTCGGGGGAGCTCTGCCAAGGCCTGTCCCTGCCCCAGTGGCGGTTACGCTGGGCCCAGGCCCAAGGCATCCTGCAGCAGCTGTGCAGATGAAGAGGACACAAACAGGAGTCAAGAGCCTCGTGTTTGTTCACCCCAACATCTCACCTTCCTCAGTATTAAAGAAAGCATCACCTGGGTGTGTCGCCCATTGTCTCCACCCACACCTGCCCTTCCCCTCATAGGCTGTTCTGCTGCATCCCACCAAAGCCAAGAGAATGGGGTGCTCTAGACCCCACCCCAGGTCCCACTGAAACTTTTCACCTTCAGCAAAGCATAATTGAGCACCTGCTCTAAACACTAAAAGTCCCTGCTTTCAGGAAATTGACATTCTAGGATAAGGAAGCTGACCACTGACAAGATAAGCCAAATATCTAGTATGTTGGAAGATAATGGCCATGGAGAAAAATAAAACAAGCTGTAGGAGGTGAAATTTTAAAGAGGGCTACACAGCAAAGGTCACCCTCAGTAAATGTGAGAGGCATGCAAAGGCCCTGAGTCCAAATGTGCTAGTGTGACAACCAAAGAGAAAGTGCGGTTTAGGGTGGGGTAGGAGGATTTAAGAGATGAAATTGCCTAATAGTTTTTATATAGTTTCTTTTTTTACATTGAAGTCTCTGAGCCATTTGGAATTTATGCAAATGGATCCATTTTTGTCTTACTTTATATATATTCCAATAGCACTTATTAAAATAGGCCCTGGCCCATGTGGTCAGTGGTTAGAGTGTTGGCCCGTGCACTGAAGGACTGTGGGTTTGATTCTCCAGACAAGGGTACATACCTGGGTTGCAGGGGGGTTTTTCTTGGGGGGAGGGGTAATTTAGCCTGGGCTATATTTTTTCATGTAGAGTTGCTTCCATCAGCTCTATCTTAAGCATCAGGCCCCTGGGATGTGAGCACCTTGGACCCAACATTAAGCCCTGAGTCAGGAATTACAACTTGAGTCCAGGGCAAAAAGGGAGGGCTCGAGGTCATGCTTCTGGCCTCACAGCTGAATGGCACTAAGGAAGTCATGATGATCTGAGTCCTGGAGAAAGCAGAATAAGGTGGGAGGTCTGGGGGACAGGGGGAAGGAGCGGGTGAGAGGATCTGGGTCCCAAGGGCCAGTTAGACCACACTCGGCTCCTTGCCCTTGTGCATGAGGTAGAGATGGAAGTGGAAAATGCTGCCATAAGTTGCATGCCTCAGGGACCAGCCATAACAGACTTGGGCATAGAGCAATGATGGCGAACCTTTTGAGCTCGGCGTGTCAGCATTTTGAAAAACCCTAACTTAACTCTGGTGCTGTGTCACATATAGAAATTTTTTGATATTTGCAACCATAGTAAAACAAAGACATATTTTTGATACTTATTTTATATATTTAAATGCCATTTAACAAAGAAAAATCAACCAAAAAAATGAGTTCGCGTGTCAGAGGTGAAATGCAGAGACCTAAAAATGTACAGCTTGAGTTCTGCGTGTCATTAGGTTCGCCATCACTGGCCTAGAGTCTAGTCTGAAAGTGGGGGGCAGCAGAGGTCAGTGAGATGAACTAGCCCCCAGGGACCAGCACTTGGTCCACAGTGTGGACCCCTCCAGAGGACATGGTCCAGGGATCCCATTCTCCAACCAACAGGGCATCCAGCTTGCCCTTCCCAAGCACCACATCGAAGGAACCATTGGGAAAGCCCACTGCCTGCACATCCGAGGTCTGCCAGCACAGCTTGGGCACGTGGGCATCACAAGCCAGAATGGCAGCCACCACTACTACTGAGTAGTCCACACTGGTCCCATCAGGGTAGCTTCCAAGGTATATATAGCTTGTAACTCAGGACACTGTTCCTGCAGCCTAACATGAGGATATGGTCTCGGGCCATGGCTCTAGGAGGGCACAGAAAGAATCCCCAAAGCACTTGTAGGGGCCAGAGTCGGCTGTGTCCCGGTAGCGCTGGCCCAAGTACTGGACCTCTCGGTACCCGCAGTTCTGGTAACCCTGGGAGGGTCCCATGGGGGCATGTGCTGGAGACAACCGATCAACATGTTTCTCATCTCCCCACCCCTCCCTTCAGGTTTTCCACTCTAAAAATCAAGGAAAAAATATCCTCTGGTGAGGATTAACCAAAAAAATTCAGCACGGATCAACAAAGAAAGAGAAGGAAGCCTTCTAGAGTTAGAAATGTATTACAATGAACCCTTGAACAATGCTGGGATTAGTGGTGCCAACCCCACATATAACTTACTTTGGATTCCCCAAAAACTAACAGCTTGCTCTTGACTAGAAGCCTTAGAGTCAATATTTTGTATGTATTATATACTGTATTCTAACAGAGTATGCCAGAAAAAAGAAAATGGTAAGGAAAATACATTTATAGTACTGTATGTATTTATTGAAACAAATCCACACAGTTCAAACCTGTATTGTATAAGGATCAGTTGTATATGATGAGAATGGTAGGGTTACATAGGTGTATAAATTTGTCAGAACTCATCAAGCTGTACATTTTTAGGTCTCTGCATTTCACTGAATTGAATTTATAAAGTAAAATTACCCACCTAAACTTTATAAAGTAAAACTTTAGGTGACTTGTTATGCCACCTTTTCATACACTACATGTCCATGAGTGATTGGGCTGTATCTGGGTTCTCTCCAAGCCCATTGTCTGATGTGTACGTCATTCTAAGGTGTTTGTTTATACAAGCCTTGTAAATACCTTTTCGTATCTGGAATGGCTAGTTGTCATCATCTTATTTTTCAAGGTTTTCCTGTCTCTTGCTAATTTTTTCTCCCAATAAAATGAACTTCAGACCCAACTTGGTTGACTCCAGAAGAAATACAAACACAAATGGGAGGTTTATTGGGGTTGCAGGAAGTTTATAAATTAGGCAGATTTGATATCTTTGTGAACTTGAACCTGGCTTCCCACCTCCCTTCTCACAATTCCTCTCTTGGCCTCCAGAGTACCCTCACTCTCAATTCTATCTCTGGCTACTCTTCCCCAACCTTTATACATTTGCTTTCCTATGTGCCCCCTCCTCCCTTTATCTCAGCTCCCAAACCCCACCTTCCTACTGATCCTGGGATCCTTCCCCACTCTCTGCTTAATTTTTCTCCACATCTTATCTTCTAACTGTTTTACTTTAGCTTTCATTGAGCAAACTTTCTAAAATGATTCCAAATCCAGATGCAGTATAGGAAAATATTGACCAAAACAAATTTTTGCATGGCAAAATAAAAAATGACCAAAGTAAAAGAAATGACAAACTAGGAACAAATTTTGCAATTTATGCCCTAGAGGGGTGTATGTGCACACGTGAATATAATATTAAAGCTGGAAAGAAAAATCCAATCCACAGGAAAATGGGCAAAATATATGAATGTACTATTTCAGAAAATATGCTCAAACTCAATCATAAAAGCAAATTGAAGCCACATTTGGATACATTTCCGATCTATCAGACTGGGAAAAAGGCAAACCAAAATTCTGGCATTTCACTCTGTTCACAAGACTATGGGAAAACAGCACTCCAATACATCCGCAGACATACAACATGGAACATCACCTATGAGGAAATCTGCAGCAAAACTACATATGCGTTTATCCTTTTGCCCAAACTATCCCACTGTTAGGACCTATCCTGGGTGAAATATAAGTTGTAGGACCTTGTACAAAACAACTAGACAGTATTCTTCAGAAGGTCAGTGGGGATAGGCAGGGGACTGGTTCAGCCTATCCCCATTGACAGCCAAATGCAATGTGGGATCTTGACTGAATCATGCATTTTTAAAAACGTTGTGAGCCCTAGCTGGTTTGGCTCAGTGGATAGAGCGTCAGCCTGCGGACTGAAGGGTCCTGGGTTCGAATATGGTCAAGAGCATGTACCTCAGTTGTAGGCTCGATCCCTGGCACCAGGGCCTCATGCCGGGAGGCAACCAATTGACGTTTCTCTGTCTCTTCCCCTCCCTTCCACTGTCTCTAAAAATAATGGAAAAAGAAGATTCAGGTGAGGATTTAAAAAACAACAAACCTTTTGAAGTACATTTTTGGAACAACTGGAGAAATCTGTATATTGGAGAATATTGTATCTTGGTTAAATTCATTTGGTGGGCCCTGGCAATGTAGCTCAGTTGGTTGGAGCATCGTTCCATATACCAAAAGGTTGTGGGTTCATTTCTCTGATCAGAGCACTTGGCTAGGTTGTGGGTTCCATCCCCAGTTGGGACATGTATGGGAGGCAACCAGTTGATGTTTCTCTCTCATGCCCTAGTTTCTCTTTCTCAATAGGAACATATCCTCGGGTGAGGATTTTTTTAAAAAATTCTTTGGTGGACTAATGGTATTGTGGTTTTATGAGAGAATGTTCTTACAGGGTACGTGTTGAAGTATTAAGGGTAATATCTGCAACTTTATTTTTTTTAAATATATTTTATTGATTTTTTACAGAGAGGAAGGGAGAGGGATAGAGAGTTAGAAACACCAGTGAGAGAGAAACATCGATCAGCTGCCTCCTGCACACTCCCCACTGAGGATGTGTCCACAACCAAGGTACATGCCCTTGACCAGAATCGAACCCGGGACCCTTCAGTCCGCAGGCCGATGCTCTATCCACTGAGCCAAACTGGTCAGGGCAGCAACTTTATTTTTAAAAAATATTTTTTACTGATTTCAGGAGGAAGGGAGAGGGAGAGAGAGTGCAATATCAATGATGAGAATCATTGATAGGCTGCCTCCTGCACGCCCCTCCCCCCCCCCCCCCCCCCCCCACTGGGGATGGAGCCCGAAATCCAGGCTTTTGCCCTTGACCAGAATTGAACCTGGAACCCTTCAGTCCTCAGGCTGACACTCTATCCACTGAGAAAAACCAGTCATGGCTGCAACTTGTTTTTAAATAATTCACACCAGGAGATAATAAGGTAGAAAGGAGAAGTATGGAAGCCAGACATCTCTAAATGTTCCCTGTTTCATACTTTTTCCTTTTGAATTTTTATGAGTTTATTTGAACCAAAATAATTGCCGGGAAGCAAGATCTCAAATGCTCCTGTTTAATACTTTTCACTGTGGAAACGTGATAATTTTTTAAAATGAGAAAAAGAAATCCCTAAAAATTCAAAACAAACTTAAATAAATGACCCTGATTATGTATCAAGTTGGTGGCACAA